CTTTGTGCTATTGTTGTCATGTATTTTACTTCTATGTGTGTGATAAACCACACACTACATTGTTATTTTTTTCCAGCAGTTTATTTTAAAGATCTTTAAATAGTAATATGAAAAAAATTCCCAGTGCTTATTATTCCTTTGTGTAGATCTGTGTTTCCATGTTATTTTCCTTCAACCATAAAGCCTTTTTCTCACATATCTTGTAATATGAAGTGCTAGTAATTAATTTTTGCAGCTTTTCTATGTCTGAAAAAGCCTTTATTTTTGCTCATAGGCATTATCTCTGATGAGATATCTGCTGTTGCCCTTATTTTTGTTCCTCTGTATGTAATGTGACCTTTTTTTCTGGCTGCTTTTAGGATTTTCTCTTTATCATTGGTTCTAAATGATTTTATTTTTTATTATTACCTGGTATAGTTAGCCCTCCCTACATATTTCTTATGCTTGGGATTGAGTTTCTTAGATCTCTGGGTTTATAGTTTTCACAGAATCTGGAACTTTTCAGCCATTATTTCTTCAGATACTGTTTTTATTCCTCCCTGTGCAGTGATCTGATAACTCTTTCTAGGTGGTGTCTGGGTGGGTCATGAGGCTCACCTGTTTGCTTCCCCATTCTCTCAGATATTTGCTGTCATTTGTTGGGTGATGTCCAATGTTTTGAAAACCATTGTTTCATCTGTTTTGTTTTATAGTTGTTTCAGCAGACAGGTAAATCTAGTGTCTATTACTCCAGTTTGACTGGAAATAGCAATCAAATACTTTTGATATTACTAGGAAATTAAACTTATCTGTATTAAAATCCTGACTTTTATATAATGTCACTTTTTGAACTCGACAAGGCAAGAATGAATGTGATAGTTGATGACTACTTACTGACCATGGAAAGAACTGGGAGTTTACCCTGAATAAGGAATATAAGAGCCATTTGACTTTGGGTTTCTTTTTTTAACCTCAATTTTTTTTTTTTTTTTTTTTTTAGTTGGAGTCTCTAGCTCTGTTGACCAGGCTGGAGTGCAGTGGCATAATCTTGGTTCACTGCAGCCTTTACCTCCTGGTTTCAAATGATTCTCCTGTCTCAACCTCCCTAGTAGCTGGGATTACAGGCATGCACCACCATGCCCAACTAATTTTTTTTTTTAGAACAGAGGCTCACTCTTTTGCCCAGGCTGGAGTACAGTGGTGTGATTTTCACTCAGTGCAACCTCCGCTTCCCAGGTTCAAGTGATTCTCCTGCCTTGGCCTCCTGAGTAGCTGGGATTACAGGGGTGAGCCACCGCACCTGGCCTCCAGCTAATTTTTGTGTTTTAAGTAGAGATTTTTTATGCTTTTACCACGTTGGCCAGGCTGGTCTTGAACTCCTGAGTTCCAGGGATCCACCCACCTTGGTCTCCTAGAGTGCTGGGATTACAGGCATGAACCACCATGCCCAGCCGTAACCTCAGATGTTACTTAGAGAGTCAGATTTTATCTCAGTATAAGAATATACTTTTTTTTTTTTGGCTGGACGTGGTGGCTTCTGCCTGTAATCCCAGCACTTTGGGAGGCCGAGGAGGGTGGACCACAAGGTCAGGAGATCGAGACCATCTTGGCCAACATGGTGAAACCTATCTCTAATAAAAATACAAAAATTAGCTGGGCGTGGTAGCGCATGCCTGTAATCCTAGCTACTCAGGAGACTGAGGCAGGAGAATCGCTTGAACCACCGAGTTGGAGGTTGCAGTGAGCTGAGATTGTGCCACTGCACTCCAGCAGCCTCAAGACAGAGTAAGACTTCATCTCAAAACAAAACCAAAAAAAAAAAAAAACCACTTTTTTAAAAAGAGGATAGGGTGCATTCTTATTTGATTCTTATTAAGATATAATTTACATACCATAAAAGTCACCCTTTTTAGTGTTTTTTTAATAAATTATCCCCTTGAACTTTCTACTCTATTCCATTGATTTGTCTTTTCTAGTTTTATATTACTATTTTTGTTTTTTTATTATACTTTAATTTCTGTGGTACATGTGCAGAACGTGCAGGTTTGTTACGTAATTATACATGTGCCATGGTGTTTTGCTGCATCTATCACCCCATCATCTACATTTGGTATTTCTCCTAATGCTATCCCTCCCCTAGCATCCTACCCCCTGTTATCCCTTCTCTAGCCCCCCACCCCGCAACAGGCCCCAGTATATGATGTTCCTCTCCCTCTGTCCATGTGTTCTCATTGTTCAACACCCACTTGTGAGTGAGAACATGCAGTGTTTGGTTTTCTGTTCTTGTGTCAGTTTGCTTAGAATGATGGTTTCCAGCTTTATCCATGTCCCTCTAAAGGACATGAACTCATCCTTTTTTATGGCTGCATAGTATTCCATGATGTATATGTGCCATGTTTTCTTTATCCACAAATCTCTATGTCTCTACTCTCATCCCCTGGCAACTGGTAGTCTTGTTTTCCATTTCTGTAGTTTTGCCTTTTCTAGAAAATCATGTGAATTTCAGAATCTTATAGAATGCAGCCTTTTGATTCTGGCTTATCTCACCTAGAATAATGCATTTGAGATTTGTGTATGTTGGTGTGTATCAGTAATTCATTCTTTGTTGTTCTTGAGTAGTAGTCCATTGAATTACTGTATCACACTTTTGTAGTATCACTGGCTGCCAAAATAGGCACAAGCAGTTGAGTATATTTGAGGATGGCAAAGAAAGGATTTAGCCCTATTCTAATGAGAGATTTAATGATCTCAAAACTTCATTTCACATCTGAAGTCTTGAAATGGCAGTGTAAATGTTTTTACTTGGCAAGTACAGGTTATTCACTTGACTTAAGAAGGGGATATACTGGAACATATTATGTTACATACACAGATCCTGAATTTGTGGTCAGTGGAAACAAGATGTATTTGTTTTCCCTTAGTTTGGGGATATTGCTTTTGTCCCCTTCTTTTTTTTTTTCTTATATTGTCTTTGAAGTTATCATAAAGTAATTAGCTTCTTTTTGAAGTTAATTTAATTCCCCTTATTTTCTACCTGCCTCTCCAGTCTACTCTGCTTCTTTTCTTTGGTATATCATACAACTAAGCCTAGTTATTTTAGAAGAAAAACAAACATGCAAGATTTAATTCTTACTTTTATTTATGTATTTCTCTAATTTCCTGTTGTAGTGATATCATGTGAAGGAAAATGCTGGGGCTCTGGAATGAAACAGAAGTTCAACACTTACCACTATGTTTCTAACCTGAAAATTACCTTCCAGAACTCAGCTCTCTTATCTTTAAAATAAGACTAAGTACCTATCTTTGAGGTTGTAAGGAATAAAAGAGACAGTATATGTGTTTTTAACACAGCATGTATTTAATACTTAATTTTTTTTTTTGTTTTGATACAGGGTCTCACTCTGTCAACAGGCTGGAGTGCAGTGGTGCAATCTCGGCTCACTGCAACCTCCACCTCCTGGGTTCAAGCAATTCTCCTGCTTCAGCCTCCCCTGTAGCTGGGACTACAGGTGCATGCCACCATGCCCAGCTAATTTTTTGTATTTTTAGTAGAGACAGTGTTTCACCATGTTAGCCAGGATGGTCTTGATCTCCTGACCTTGTGATCTGCCTGCCTTGGCCTCCCAAAGTGCTGGGATTATAGGCGTGAGCCACAGTGCCTGGCCAGTAAATACTTAATTTCAAATGTCATCAAATAAATTTTACCAGTCCCTTTTGTATCTCCATTTAAAAAAGATCCTATACAGATCAGCAGTGTTTTAGAGTTTGATCAAGGGCTGAGGAAAGTATGCACTATTTTTGTACTGTTAATGTAGAACCATAGTGTAGTTTGGAGATTGTGCAGTCCAGACTTACAATATGGAAAGTTCTTTTTACCATCTTCTAGAAAGGACTCTGCTTTTACCTAATGATGAATTTAAGCTTTAAAATGTTTAGGAGGTTTTCTTTCAAACAATATCATTAAAAGAATACTTGAGGGTTTTAGATGTAATAGCTAATGAAGGAAACAGGTTTAAATTGAGATTGTTATATATGTGCTCTTTACCAAATTGGCTTTTCTACCATCATTCTTCAGTATTTTGTTCTAGTTCTTTTTTTTAAAAAAAAAATTTATTTATTTAAAAAAAAAAGAAAAAAGATAAAAACAAAACAAAAAAAATATTTATTTATTTATTTGTTTTTTGGAGACAGAGTCTCCCTCTGTTGCTTAGGTTTGTGTGCGGTGGCATGATCACAGCTCACTGCAGCCTTGATTTCCTGGGCTCAGGTTATCCTCCTACCTCAGCCTCCCTCATAGCTGGGACTACAGCCGCATGCCACTGTGCCCAGATAATTTTTTTGTTTTGTTTTGTTTTAGAGACAGGGTTTAGTCCATGTTGTCCAGGCTGGTCTCAAACTCCTGGATTCTAGAGATCCACTTGTCTTGACTTCCCAAATTGCTGGGATTACAGGTGTGAACCACCATGCCCAGCCATTATTAATTTTAATTTTTGTGGGTACATAGTAAGTATATATATTTATGGGGTACATGAGATATTTTGATACAGGCATGCAAGTGTAAAAATCACATCATGGAAAATGGGCTATCCATCCTCTGAAGCATTTATCCTTTGTGCTACAAATAATCCAGTTATAATACTAGTTATTTTTAAATGTTCAATTATTATTATTATTGACTTGTTCTGATATGCTACTTTATAATACTGTTATTTGGCTCTTATTTTGTGACTTGATTGGATAAGTCTTTGTTCTGGAGAAAAATTCTCAGTCTAGTTAAAGGTAGGGAAAATGTATTTATTTTAGTTCTGCTACTCAGGGAAATCCAGTAGCAATAATTTTTCTTAGAATTTTGTTATAGAAATTACAGTTAAAAAACAGAACTCGCATTATCGTAACACATACCTTACAGTTGCAGTTACATATTCTTAATCTTATAAATGTTCATTGGACGTTACTAATGAATTGAGATGTCCTCTAATACATAAATCAAGTCAGTTTTATTATCACTTAATGTTTTCCAGATGAAGGTAATGAAACAGAAGTGCAGCCACAACAAAACAGCCAGTTAATGTGGAAACAAGGTCGGCAACTACTCAGACAGTAAGTGTCCCGAGGTCGAACTTAAAAATGGTTGAAGACAAGAAACATTTTTACAAAGTTATTTTTACTGTGTATTTTCAAGTCAGATGAATATTTTATCTCTTATTATTATTAGATGGATGCTGTGAAAAAGCTTAATTGAATTACTATTCCTTTTTCATATTAAACACTTTTTCTGTGTGGTAGAATTTATATAGTTAAAAGAATTCTATACCTTTATTCTTTTCATTGCATCTTTTATGTATGAATATAAACATTTTAATATATATGCAGTTGGTGTTTACATGCAATTTTGTTATGTTTTAAAACTTTTAAATAATTGGAGACCTTTTTGAATTCTCCAAATTTGCAAATACTGCCTAACACATGCTTTATCGATTGATTGATTGATTGCGTGCTTGATTGAGACTGAGTCTCACTCTGTTGGCCAGGATGGAGTGTGGTTTCACAATCTTGGCTCACTGCAACCTCTGCCTCCTGGGCTTAAGTGATTCTCCTGCCTGAGCCTCAAAAGCTGCTGGGTCTACAATCGTGTGCCACCATGCCTGGCTAATTTTTTTGTATTTTTGTAGAGATGGTGTTTTACTATGTTGGCTAGACTCTTCTGGAACTCTTAACCTCAAGTGAGCTGCCTGCCTTGGCCACCCAAAGTGCTGGGATTACAGGTGTGAGCCACCGTGCCTGGTCAACTTTCTTCCATAAAATATTAATATGTATTTGAGACAACAAAGAGTAAACAAAGATGGATTGATCTGATATCAGGAGGTAGACTAGATTCACTGGCTCAGTGCCTGGTTCTTAAATACCACCTTTGAAATGCCCCAGTAAAGGAAATTTGCTACCTGTTGTTTGAAGACTGATTATAAGTTGTTTAAACCCAAGGTTTCCAAAGTAGATGTATAGCAGTTATTCCTTTCGACTATAGAAAGAGAATCTTAAAATGTCTTCACATATCTATTTTTTAATCTAAACAGAAGAAAATGAGATATTTTCTGATATTTAATAAGTGGATTTTTACTAATGCCCACGCTTTGATCTTAAATATGACTTATACATCTTTTTAAAATAGGTGTGTTCTTAGAATGCTAATTTTTTTTTTAAAACAAGAAATGGTTTCATAATGAGCTATACAAGAGATGTTTTCAGAAACTTTGAAGGACCCATAACTCTTCAGAGTAAAGGTGTCATTTTATCAATGAATGAGGAAGTAACTATTTAGTAAAACCAGCTTATCTATGGCAAGAGCAGTTTCAAAACAGGTATTTGTAATATGATTTTGTTGCCAAAGTGAGGTATGTCTCAAATATTATTGTTAAAAATGGAAAAATATAACATCTTTGAAGCAGTTTTCAAGAAGAACTTTAAATTTAGGGAATTTGGGAATTTATTATCTAAATTTTAATTGAGACCTTTCTATAAATATCGGATAGGATTGAAAAATGAGCATCTTGATCTGATAAGATAAACTTACTCCCTTTGATCACGTATATTTTTGAGATAGGTCTTTCAACTGTAATAACCAAGACCAAATCTTGCAATAAACTTAATTTAAACTGCTTATCTCATCAACCTTTGTTTTCTTCTTTCATCCAGTAGACTCAGTGCCTGCTTATAAGTTTGTCTAGTGTTTGTCTATCATGTTTACTAATGGCATTTACCATTTTCATGGTCCTGCCACTGCCACTTGGGCCTTTTTTGGTCAACTTTCCTGTTAATATGTATTGAATGCGTTTTATATGCCAAGTACAATATTAGGTATGTCTGTTTTAGGGGATAGAAAACAGGTTCAGGAGAATTAAAGTTATGCAAGTAAGTGGCAGAAATAGGACCTAGACCTAGCTCTCAGTACAAAGCCTTTGCTCTTTTTCTTTGCCACTGCCTTTCAGTAACATACACACATGTGTGTCCACACCCCCTACATGCCACAATTTAATTGCGGTCTATTTTTATTTTAAAGTTGTCTTGGGATAGAAGCTTCTATACTGTAGAGGTGACTCAAGAAATCCTCCCTTCTTGTGTGTAATGAAGGAGACCATATATGCTAGGAACATTCTGTCTATATCACAAACAATTGATACATGACAAATGTAAAAAAAAAAAAACTATTGGAATAACTATTATAAAATACTAATTTGGTAGAGTCTGGGAGTGAGCTAGCTCCAATCTAGCCTAAAGGAAAGAATGTGCTATTAGATATATTAAAGACCAGCTTCTTCTTATGGTAAATGTAATGAATGGTGTATTGTATGGTTCTCTCATTTTTCTCAGTGACTGTAGAGGCTGGTACTGCAAGAGACAGCTCCATCTGCAGCTGGAAGATTATTTATTAAGTCTTACTAGCATAGTACTGTACTGTTAAGTTTTATGTGGGCAATGAGTTTAAATAAATGCTTTTATTTATATATTAAATTATAGAATACTGATTCCAGTATGACTGAACTGTAAGGATCCTCTTCACACAGGTATCTACAGGAGGTGGGTTATACAGATACTATTCTAGATGTGAAATCTAAACGAGTGCGAGCTTTGTTGGGCTTTTCAAGTGATGTCACTGACAGGGAAGATGACAAAAATCAGGACTCAGTTGTAAATGGCACAGAGGCTGAAATTAAAGAGACAGCAATGATTGGGTAAGTATTTTGTCTGGGAAGTGTTTTAGCTATAATTAGTTCTTATTAAATATTTTTGGTTTTATGGGCATTATTTGTACTTTCAGGTAGTGACATAGAAATAATTAAATTATAATTTAATAAAAATTCTAAAATTTTGTTTGGTTAGAAGTTAACACATAAGGATTGGAGTTATTCTATTTTAATTCAAGAATACTATTATGATATTTGCTTCAAATTTATGTATTTATGTATTAATACATAAATATACATAATAATATATGTAATAAATACATAATCATAATTATGTATTAATACAAATTTTAGTATATTGTCCTAATCACTAAATAAAAGTTCAGAAAACATTTTGTTTGGAAATTCAGTACAATATGTAAGAACAAAATTTCATGACTGGTGATCCAGAAATCACAAAAGTACCTCAAATTATTTAGAAGTAACCCTGCTTTTAGCCACTTTTGTTTATCTCATAATGCTGTAATTTATCTTTCCTTTGATATAAAATATGTGTTACAAGTGACAGTGTAAGTGTGAAAAATTCATTAGCTATTTGAAATATTTTGTTTTCCATTTTGGATTATGTATCATACAATCATATATAATTCTACTTAAAATAAGCATAAACAGATCAATAAAGAGATTTTTCTTTATTGGAAAAAAACTTCCATGATTATTACTTGAATAAAAAGTCAAAAATTCTGTGAATGTCTTAGTATGGTTTTTATTTTGACACTTGTTTAGGAAGGAAGAATGGTTTTAATTGAGCTCTATAAATTTTCTGGTGAGAAGATAGTTCCTGTTATTTGGAATATAAACTAAAATTATGGGATTAGGTAAAGGTTCACTGTGGTACTTTTATAAACAAAGGTCTGTGAAGCCTTCTAAAATGTATTCGTTAATAATTAAGAATACATTTCCAACTTTTAAAGCTACATTGAAAAAGTACATTAACTTGTATTTGTAAATGTAAGGCATGGTATTTCTCTGTATAGACGAAGGCCGTGTGGACATTATCTATTTTTATGTTATGGGTCAACATAAGTCATCAAGTTAACTTAGATAGTATAATTTTTTTTTTTGAGACGTTTTCTTTGTTTCCAGGTTGGAGTGCAGTGATGCCATCTTGGCTCACTGCAACCTCTGCCTCCCGGGTTCAAGTGATTCTTCTGCTTCAGCCTCCTGAGTAGCTGGGACTACAGGCATGTACTACTATGCCCAGCTAATTTTTGTTATTTTTAGTAGAGACGGGTTTTCACCATTTTGACCAGGATGGTGTTGATCTCTTGACCTCGTGATCTGCCCACCTCAGCCTCTCAAAGTGTTGGGGTTAGAGACATGAGTCACCATGCCTGGCTGATAGTATAAATGTTTTTAAGAGCTATAATGCATACTTTAATAACCTTCAGTAAAGACTTTCAGGGAAGACCACTCGTGTGTGTTTTGACCTTGATCTGTCCTTTAAGAATGACCAGGCTATTGCTGCTAATCTGTCAGATTTCAGTAGGGATAAAGGGTTAGGAGAGGGTGATAACCAAACACAAAGCTCTAAGCAGATTTGAAATTTAAGATAGATCTGTTTTGAAAATTTTGTCCATAGTAGTTTTTATATATATATAAAATATATATATATATATTTTCCTTCGAGAAAATGCTCTGTCTAAAAGATTACCTGATGAACTGGAGAGAAATCTTTTTGTTCTGGCCATTGGAACCTTTAATACATTTATTTTGAGGGAACTAAATTCAAGTCATATATTTGAAAATTCAATTATTTCTAAAATATTAATCGTTTATTAATCAACAGGGTCAAGTCTTAAAATAATGTTAATTTGACTAGTGTATTGCTGTTAGTAACTTTATGTATACATTTTCTCTTTTACTTTAGTTCTAGAGCCGAAATACAAGATTGTATCAGAGAAAAATGACATATTTGTTATTTTCTTAGTTGTGGAAACTTATGTAAGAGGTCAAAGAAAGTTGCAGAGAGGATAAGAGTAGAGAAAAATGGAGGTAGAGATAATAAACATATTTTTTAAAAAAATACATTAAGATTGGTATAAGGATCAAAATAATACTGAATCAGGAAGGGGAGTTCTTTACATTAGATTACCACTAATTTAAGTAAATATGAGTGGCCAGGCATGGTGGCTTATGACGCCTATAATCCCAGCACTTTGGGAGGCTGAGGCTGAGGTGGGTGGATCACTTGGGCTCAGGAGTTAGAGACCAGCTTGGGCAACATAGTGGAACCCCATCTCTGTTGAAAATAGAAAAATTAGCTGAGCGTGGTGGCTCCCCCCTGTAATCCTAGCTACTTGGGAGGCTGAAGCTGAAGAATTGCATGAACCTGGGAGGCAGAGGTTGGAGTGAATTAGATCATGCTACTGCACTCCAGCCTGGGCAACAGAGTGGTAGGTAGGTAGATAGGATTACAAAGTACTTAAAAGAGTATCTACAGCCTGTATTGCTTTTTAAATTTATCTGTGAGAATGTAATTAATAAGAATCAATGTAGATAATGTGATTTGGGATTTATAGTTACCATATAAACAGAAGTTAATGCGACATATCATGGGTTAATTCTTATATTGAAGTTAAAAAGATTAACTAAGCAGGATATACATGTTTTACACCAGAAAATCTGAGTTAACAGATTCTGCCTCCGTGCTGGATAATTTCAAATTCCTTGAAAGTGCAGCTGCAGATTTCAGTGATGAAGATGAAGATGATGATGTTGATGGAAGAGAGAAAAGCATCATTGATACTTCAACAGTGAGTTAGATAACTCATACAATATTAATATTTTTAGGGACTGTAATACATACTACATAATGCATAAAATAATCCATGTTCTTTAATCTTAACCCCTAGCTTTTTCATTTTCATAAATTTGGGGCAAGTTTTTTATATTGATTTCAAATTAAGAATATTTTTTGTATAGTAGCTTTCTCTTGAAATTCCTCACTGTTTGATTTTTTGTTCATTCATTGAACAGGACAGTTTTCTATGGGGCAGATGAATATAGTAAATACTGTGTGTTATAACAATACAGGGTTATTGGTTGCTATAAGAGAATAGAACTGACAGACACATTATGGTGCCTGATGGTGACTAGCATCACCTCTAATATATGCAGTTTTTGTCTTGTCAGGATTGTTTTGGTAGACAAATTCTGCAGACTTTCAGAACTCTTCCATTAGATTTCTTCACAATTGTGTAGGGTTCTTCTCAAGTTTTGTTCAGAAGTTTATAAGATTATTGACTTTCCCATGGCAGTTTCTTGGAATGAGAGATGTCTCTTAGTAGCCACTTCTTCTTTCTCTTCCCTTCTCTATTTTCTTCTCTTCTTCCCTCTTTCCCCTTCTCTGTCTTTACTTTTCTCCCCTTCTCCCTTCTCTCACTTCTTCCTTCTTTCTCCTACTCCTTTTCATTCTTTTTTAAGTAAGAGATGAGGACATATTTTGCTTTGTCTAGGAAAATGTTTACATTTCTCTTCTTTCACATTTATTTGTGAATAGAAAGGAAAGTAAAGTAATATAAAGCCGATTGGACCTCTAGCTAAAAGACTGTGGTTAAGCTCCAGTTCTGCCACTATTTGTGTTTCTTAATGCTTCAGGCTTAGTTTTTTCATTTGTAAAATGTGGATTGTAATAAATAACCATGTTTACCATGGAGGATTTTGTGAGGAATAAAGAGACACTATGTGCGAAAATGATCTATTTAACTTACAAAGTGCTTTTTAAGTGTAACCTCTCTGTTTTTTATGCCTTCTGCTTCTTGGGCTCCATCAGAGACTTTCAAATTATTACTGCGAGATTATTATTTTCCTTGACCACTATTCAGTAGTACTTTGCTAATACAGCACTGCCATGGAAATTATTTGAACTTCAAGTAGTAACTTACAATTGTTCTTATCCAAACCGGTAGTAATAGCATGTGTCTTAATTTACCGTAGTAAAAGGCAAAGCCTAAACTTCTGTGACACTTTTTCTGTACCCTAATCATCTGGAAATTGTGTAACTCCTTGTTAATTCTATGGGATGACTGCATTGAGATATTATTTTTCCATCAAAATACTTTATTCATAGCTCAGTATTAAATAATGCCTTGAATCATGATGCTATATGTTTCTGTAAGTTAGTGATATTAATTTAAATATTTTAAAAGTTCATAAATATTAAAACTATTACATATGATTTTATTAGAGATTCCTAACCCACAGGCATAATAAATATACTGTCTTCTAATTAGTACAGATCATAGCAGTTCTGTGCTGGGTGCAGTGGCTTGTGCCTGTAATCCCAGCTACTCAGGAGGCTGAAGTGGGAGGATCATTTGAGGCTAGGAGTTTGGGACCAGCCTAGGCAACATAGCAAGACTCCATCTCAAAAAAAATTTTTTTTTTAATTAGCGGTGTACAATAGCACACACCTGTAGTTCCAGCTACCCAGGAGGCTGAGGAAGGAGGATCGCTTGAGACCAGGAATTTGATGTTGCAGTGAGCCATGATCATGCTATTGCACTGAAAAACTTTTTTAGTTTTTTAGAAAAAAATATTTTTAAGCAAATTAATCACTGGTTTTAACAGTTTTGCTTATTTTTACATTATATTACATTAATTTTCCAGCTATAGTAAAAATAGCTACATGCCAAAAGCACTTTAAAGATCTAGTTCTGTGTAGCAGTGAATAAGCATAACAGAAAATTTATTGCATTCTATAGGGAAAGCTAAAAGTTATCCTATTAAAATGTCAAGCAGAACAAGTTTTTAAAATGTTAATTTATTTATTTAATCAAAATAGTTTAATAAACTCAACTAAGAAAATAGAGAGACATAAAGCTCTTAGTAATTGCTGTTGTATTTAGGCTGTTATACAGGAGTGTATTCAAAGCCTCATATCCTGTTGTTTTTTCTTTGCCATTTTTGGAGTTTGGGTTACATGCTGTATTATTTTCCTCCTCTAAATTGTGTTCTTTTTCTTCATCATCTGCCTCTTCACTGTTTTTTTCGTTTGTTTTTTGTTTTGTTTTTGCGACAGATCAGAGTTTTGCACTTGTTGCCCAGGCTGGAGTGCAGTGGCACGATCTTGGCTCACTGCAACCCCAGCCTCCTGAGTAGCCAGGATTATAGGCATGCGCCATCATGCCCAGCGAATTTTTTGTATTTTTAGTAGAGACAGGGTTTCATCATGTTGGCCAGGCTGGTCTCGAACTCCTGATCTCAAGTGATCCACCCACCTTGGCCTCCCAAAGTGCAGGGATTACAGGCATGAGCCATTGTGCCCAGCCCTTATTTTTCTTTACTGTTATTATTATCAGCATTCTTGTTATCACTAGCTAAGTATAATAACAACCTTGAGATTATACATGCATGTAAGAAGCGATCAGTTTCAAACTGTGTGAAGGCTAACTTCAGCAGCATCTAGTCTCCACATTCAGAAATTTCAGGAGGAAAAAGAATGGAAATAGGGCTATTAACTATTTTTTTAGCCACAGTATAAAGAATCTCATGTTACTTTGTGTCATGGCCCTACTTATTGATGGTTTTTGAAGTTTATTTATTAATTTTTTCTGATCTGCTTAGGCACCCTATGCAGCCCATTTGGTTTTTTCTTAAATTTCTTCAATTGATTCATAAACTCTTCGAAGGTAGGAGTGGAGTGGAACCTTCTATGTCAGGAAGAAAAGTAATATATACTTGTTATTACAAACTCTACCCCTTCCTGTTCTAATCCTGTTCTCCACTGGTAAACACAATTAATTTTTCTTATATACCTAAACATTAAAAGCAAAGGACTTTCGGTTTATTTATTTAAAGGGGGATACTTGGTTAATAGTAATCTGCAGTGACAGTAATAAATATGCCATTTATTCTTTGTTCTATTATACTGAGGTGATGAGACTAGAAACGGGTTTTTTTCCCCAGGAGTTGCTTTGTGACATTAAATACCATATTTAATGTTGAGAATATATTCAGACTTGCAATTCGAGGTTCCATATACTTCTTATGGATTTTCCCTGCTCTTTTTGTCAGGCAGTGAGAACAAGGACTTACAGACAAAGATGTTGGCGATAGTCCCTCTGAATTACAGCTGGCATCTCATCAGGGTCCAGAAGAGGAAGGGATTAAGCCTTTAGGTTAAAAGAAGGTAGATTAGGCAATATATTTATATGTGGAACTATGAGAATTGGGGTGTCCTCTTGGCATAACTCTTCAGAGACACCTTTCTGCCTTAGTATGGCTGCTTAGGGAAAATTGGAACAGATTATTCGAATATGGTTTGTATTTATAAAAATACGCATTCAAGAATGGGTTTTCGGTTCTCAGTCTGCCACACTGATCTTGCTTTTTTTGTCGAATAGATATGCTAGATATTAGATTGGGAGGTGCTGTAAGCATAGAAGTATTTCTGGATTTTATGAAAATATCCCAAATAGTTAAACAAATTATTCAAGCATCCTTAAGTAATCCTTTGATTTCTCCTATCCAGGTTTTGTATGTACCAGGACAGTTAAGGCCAATAGTTAAACAAATTATTCAAGCATCATTAAGTAATCCTTTGATTTCTCCTATCCAGGTTTTGTATGTACCAGGACAGTTAAGGCCAGATAGGTTTCATCTATGATGGCACCTTTGTTCCATTGGTAGTGGCTTCTTGGAGTGCTGTGCTGAGAAGGATTTCTGAGGCTGTATCTTGTCTTTGATGAAGAATGCTATGATTTATAAATGATACCAGTTGTCAGCATGGGAACAGGGCCATACAAGTCACCTGTTTGTCGTCTCTTGGGTTCTGCTTCTAACTCTTTAGTCTGTCTAGTCTATCCCATTGGTCTGTCTGTAAAACTTTGATAATTTTAAGCCACTCCTAATAGCCCAGGGATAACATTTGATCATATCATACTATTTCTGTTTTGCATGAGGTGAAGAAGCTGAAATCTAGAGAAACTGAGATATTGCAATTTTATTCAAAGAAATGCAAACCAAAGTATCCTAATTTCTTTAGGTCCATGTTGGTAAAGGTGACTGAGAAGGAGATAATTTATAAAGAGCTTAGGTGTGTATGAAGCTTAAGTTTTAACACTTCAACTGGATTTGTGATTCCAGAGTTATTTCTAAAGATATAAAAATGAAGTGTAGCTGCCTTTACCAATTTGTTAGATTCAGTCTGAAAGATCAATGTTTTAGGGAAAAAAATTAAATGTATGGAGAGCTTCTAGAGAAAACTGATGACAGTAGAAATAATTATGGGAACCTAACAGAGTACCTTGTAAATTATCTATGTTGTTTCAATACATGTCTTATATTTCCACATGTGGTTCTATTAGTTGACTTAAACAAGCCATCATATTGTTGAACAAAGTTTAAATTACTGCTTTAAAATTTATAATGTCTTTAAAAAAATGTGATTTTGACTGAGGTAATACAGTTATTTAACACAACAAAGGTACACATTCTTGAAGAAAATAATTAAATTTTCTTATTCGATGGTAAAGGGGAACTATCTCCTTTATTTAATTTAGCATGTTTTTTCATTAGATTGTTAGGAAAAAAGCATTGCCTGACAGCAGTGAAGATCGAGATACAAAAGAAGCTCTAAAGGAGTTTGACTTCTTGGTTACATCAGAGGAAGGAGACAATGAATCTAGAAGTGCAGGCGATGGAACAGACTGGGGTAAGGAAGCATACTGTATCTAATTAGAGATGTTAAATAAATAAAAAAATTAGTGTTTTACCAGGAGGGCGACATCTTAAAGAACTATAATGTTGAAATATTGAACATTTTGTGAACTTATTACTACTGGCACCTTTTAACCTGGGTATATGTGTATGCATGTTTAAGAAAAGTTGTGTAACTAATTACCTCATTTAAAAAGAAAAAAAGGCCGGGCACAGTGGCTCACCCCTGTAATCCCAGCACTTTGGGAGGCCGAGGCAGGTGGATCACGAGGTCGAGAGATCGAGATCATCCTGGTCAACATGATGAAACCCCATCTCTACTAAAAATACAAAAAATTAGCTGGGCATGGTGGCATGTGCCTGTAATCCCAGCTACTCCGGAGGCTGAGGCAGGAGAATTGCCTGAACCCAGGAAGCGGAGGTTGCGGTAAGCCGAGATCGCGCCATTGCAGTCCAGCCTGGGTAACAAGAGCGAAACTCCGTCTCAAAAAAAAAAAAAAGCAGTATGAATTACTTTACAGAATATTCTCTGTTTTCTGCCTAGACAGTAGAATTTTCAAATTCAAAGCATTTGAATTATTATATAGAATATTCTCTGTTTTCTGCCTAGACAGAACTTTCAAATCTAGATTTTTGTGAAAATTGATTATGAGACTTTAATTAGAGGATTTTGGAGATCTCATTTCTGACATTTTATATGTAAAAATAACTATAAGTTAGAAAATTGTAGTCAATCATTCATTCTAGTTTTAGCTTTGACAGTTTGTACAAGACACAGAATTTTTCTTCTCAAAATGTTCTAAAAAATTGAATATTTTAAACATCTAATAAGAATTAAAACAAATATTTTGGGGAAACTTCCACAGCATAGATCATTCTAGTACGGAGACATTAATGCTATCAAGTTATTAAACACAACAAAGGTACACTTTTTGTTTCTGAGACAGAGTCTAGCTCTGTCACCCAGGCTGGAGTGAAGTGGCGCGATCTCGGCTCACTGCAACCTCCATCTCCCAGGTCCAAGCAGTTCTCCTACCTCAGCCTCCCAGTAGCTGGAATTGCAGGCACCCATGACCATGCCTGGCTAATTTTTGTATTTTTAGTAGAGATGGAGTTTTGCCATGTCAGCCAGGCTAATCTTGAGCTCCTGACCTCAGGTGACCTGCCTGCCTCAGCCTCTCAAAGTGCTAGGATTGTAGGCGTGAGCCACTGTGTCTGGCCCAAAGGTACACTTTCTGAAGAAAATAGTTTAATTCACTTAAGATAGGATTGTGATAAATTATTCAAAACAAAAGTGATTAATTCCATCAGGTGTATATATTTGTGTAAATGTGAGAGAGAGACTGAAAATGAGAGAAATTTTCTCTTGAGATTGAAGGATTTCAATGATTTAATTACTTTACACTCTGTGTACTGCATTTTCCTTAGAGCTTTTCTATTATTTTCTTTTTTTTGAGAAAGAGTCTCACTCTGATGGGAGCGTAGTGGCTTGAACACAGCTCACTACAGCCTCAGCTTACTGGGCTCAAGTGATCACAGGTGTGCACCACCATGCCTGGCAACTTTTTCTGGGTTTTAGTAGAGACAAGGTCTTGCCATGTCACCCAGGCTGGTCTCAAAATGGGTTTAAGTGATCCTCCTGCCTTGGTCTCCCAATGTGCTGGGATTATAGATGTGAGCCATCACTCCCAGCCTCCTTGGAGCTTTTCTTTGGGGTCAACTTAAATATGTTGAACTTTAAACTCTGTATGTTTTATTCATTTAAAAAATTAAGTTAGCTGGGTGGCTCAGACCTATGATCCCAGGACTTTGGGAGTCCAAGGTGGGAGGATTGCTTGAGCCAAGTAGTTCAAGACCAGCCTGGGCAACATGGCAAAATCCTATCTCTACAAAAAAATGCAAAAATTAACTGGGTGTGGTGATGTGTGCCTATAGCCCCAGCTACTTGGGAGGCCAACGTGTGAGGATCACTTCAGCTTGGGGAGGTTGAAGTGAGCCTTGATCAAGCCATGTCAGCTTGGGTGACAGAGTGAGACTCTGTCTCGAAAAGGATAGAGTTATTTTCAAACTCGTAATTATAGTTCTGCTGATGACCTAATATAACTTCCCATTTTCAAGGTTTTCTTTCAACCCTAAAGCAAAAGTTTAAGGATATTTGGTGACTCACATCTATATGCCATTAATTTAGCAAATTATATTTCAGTACAAATTAATGGCATATAGATGTGATTGTATGTAAGACTTAGTTAAAACATACTAAAGTATTAATGAGAAGATATTTGGATTTTTTTGTTTTTTTGAGACGGACTCTTGCTCTGTTGCTCAGGCTGGAATATAGTGGTGAATATAGTGATTTTGGCTCACTGCAACCTCCACCTCCCGGGTTCAAGCAATTCTCATGCCTCAGCCTCCTGAGTAGCTGGGACTACAAGGTGTGCACCACCACGCCCAGCTGATTTTTTTATTTTAGTGGAGACGGGGTTTCACTAAGTTGGCCAGGCTGGTCTCGAACTGCTGACCGACATCAGGTGATCTGCCTGCCTCAGCTTCCCAAAATGCTAGGATTACAAGCATGAGCCACCACACTCAGCCTTGTATTTACTTTTTTTTTTTTTTTTTTGAGACAGAGTTTCACTCTTGTTACCCAGGTTGGAGGGCAATGGTGTGATCTCAGCTCACCGCAGTATTTACTTTTTTAAAGTTACTGTTATATGTTATGTTCTTCCTAGGAGAGGATAGGGATATCTTAGTTTAGGTCCAACCTTTTCATGATATTTGAACTTGAATTTTCCATATGGATTTTAAAATCATTTCTTCGTGTTCCATGAATAACTGAAGATTTGATTTTAGTTTCACATATATGTAAATAATTTGCAGCTCACCGATATCTTTTCAATAGAGTGTTCTCCTCAATGAAAAAGATATACATCTCAAATTATACAGATTTCCATATTTATAAATAATATTTTTTTGTTTTTTGTTTTATGTTTTCTTTTTCAACTTTTAGTTTTGGGAAAACGTTTGCAGGTTTGTTACTTGGGTATACGGGGTGATGTTGAGGTTTAGGGTATGAAGGATCCCGTCACCCATGTACTGAGCAGAGTACCCAACATTTGGTTTTTCAGCCTTTACTGCTCTCCCTGCCTCCTGCCTCTAGTAGTCCCCAGTGTCTTTGTTGCCGTCTTTATGTCCATGAGTACCTAATGTTTAGCTCCCACTAATACATGAAAACATACAGTATTTGCTTTTATGTTTCAGTGTTAATGTACTTAGGATAAATATTGATTTCAATACACCTTCAAGAACTAGAACACAGGCTGTAAGACTGGAACCCAGGTATTACTTCTGTCCAAATGTTACTTAGTATGTTTTGCTTAAAATGAAGAACTTTTTTACATTTTTAGTTATGCTCATTAGAAATACTAATTAAATCCCTTTTTTGGGGGTATATTTCTTCTCTGAAGGAAAAATAAAAGAATTCTAAAGCCTGAATGGAAAAAGTAAGACACCTTTTTCTTCTCTCATTCATGTTAAAAATTTTGTTGAAATTTTTCCTCCTTCACAACTGCTTGGTCATTATATATAGTGACTGATAAGAAAACTCTCTTAGGTAAGTTCAAGGAAAAGATTTCCTAATGTTTTTAACAAAAATAGATTTTTTTGTAACCTTTTCTTTTCATCTGAAACATTGTACAATAAAACTAATTTGTGATTGCCCCAAGGAAATGTTCTTTCTCTGGCTCTGTGGCCAGGCTGGAGTGCAGGGCACGATCAAGGCTTACTGTAACCTCCACCTCTCAGGTTTAAGCAATTCTCCTGCCTCAGCCACCCCAGTAGCTGGGACTACAGGTGCCTGCCACCGTGCCTGGCTAATTTTTGTATTTTTAGTAGAGACAGGGTTTCACCATATTGGCCAGATGGTCTTGATCTCTTGACCACGTGAGCCACCGCACCTGGCTGAATCTTATTTTTTTTTTGAGACAGAGTCTTAATTCTGTCGCCCAGGCTGGAGTGCAGTGGTGCAATCTTGGCTCACTGCAACCTCCACCTCCTATGTTCAAGCAGTTCTCCTGCCTCAGCCTCCCAAGTAGCTGGGATTACAGGCACCTGGCACAACACCTGGCTAATTTTTGTATTTTAGAAGAGATGGGATTTCACCATGTTGGTCAGACTGGTCTTGAACTCCTGACCTCAAATGATCCATCCTCCTCAGCCTCCCAAAGCACTGGATTATAATCCAAAGTGCTTGGATTATAGGCGTGAGCCGCTGGGCCTGGCCCATTAGTTGCATCTTTTAATGACTTCTCTTGTTGAGGTGTTAAGTGACTGTGGGTTGTCCGTCTATCCCTGATGTGAAAATCGAAATCTGAAATGTTCCAAATTCTGAAACTTTTTCAGCACTGATGATACTTAAAGAAAATATGACTGGGTGTGGTGGCTAATGTCTGTAATCCAAGCACTTTGGAGGCCAAGGCAGGTGGATTACCTGAGGTCGGAGTTCAAGACCAGCCTGACCAACATGGTGAAACCCTATCTTAAAAATAAATAAATAAATATGCATTGGAGCATTTTGAATTTTAGATTTTTGGATTGGAGGGTGCTGAACCAATATAATACAAATATTTGAAAATCCAAAATGGTTTGAAATCTGAAATACTTCTAGTCCTAGGCATTTCGGGTAAGGCATAGTCACCTTTAGTGTATTATTTCACTTTTATATTGGAGCTTCCTTTGAGAGGAAGAAACTGATTATACTTCTAAGTCCAGCTGACTTCTTGCCTTTTGGACTCAGTTGCAAATTACTTTCTAGGATGGTTGGTAGGTTCATTTGCCCCAGAATCATTAAAAAATAGTTTTCTGGGCCAGGTGCGGTGGCTCACACCTGTAATCCCAGCCCTCTGGGAGGCCAAGGTGGGCAGATCACTTGAGGTCAGGAGTTCAAGACCAGTCTGGTCAACATGGCAAACCTCTGTCTTCAAAAATCAGCCAGGCGTGGTGGCAGGCACCTGTAATCCCAGCTACTCTGGAGGCTGAGACAGGAGAATCGCTTGAACCCAGGAGGTAGAGGTTGCAGTGAGCCAAGATTATGCCACTGCACTCCAGCCTGAGTGACAGAGCAAGACTCCATCTCAAAAAAAAAGGCATTTTCTGGTGCAGTGATAATATTGACGATCGTATAACCATAGCACACAATAAATTTTTCATCTGCCTTTACTTTTCCTTAAATCATGTAAATTTGCCTTTAACCCTCTAAGATCTTACCTTCAGGGACTCTGTCATAGTACCAGTGCCACTTCTTTCCCTTTTTTTGTGGTAAATACTTGAAGAATTATCTAAGATAAGTAGTCATTGGAGAATACAGTGACTATCTAGTGACTGGCTTTTCTTTCAAGAAAACAAGTCCAGAAACCAAGGGGAAGTTAAAGTGAAACAGGCCTCTATTCTGTCTTACTTCCTACTGAGCTTGTGTGTCAAGTAACTCATGTTAGGCAACAAGTCCACCAACGTAGCTACATCTACTGTGCTGCACTGGGGTCTTTCTCTGAGGAATTGCACATTTGCATAGATACAGTTGGTCCTTTTCATTGTGAATCATATTGCAAGGGCACTGGAGATTGGTTTTTCTCCAAGGACAGCTGCACTGTTCCTTGTGTAACTTCCTTTACTTTATGAGTCATAACTCCATGTATTATATGATACGTGTGTGAACATTTTACCTAATCTACTATATGAATCACATGAGTGACTCTTCTCACAACTGAGTTGTCTCATTCTTTAGTAGTGTACTGGATATGGATAGTTCTGTTAATGAGTATGAGTAAATGGAATATTTCCATTATTGAAGGTTTCTTTACCAGTAGTTCAACCTATATGTTTTAGGATTTTATAATTCAGATTCAAAGGGTTCTTTTTTAACATATTAACAAAACTAGATTGCAAATCTTCTCTAATTGAGTGAACATTTAAGCCATTTTAAGGGTTCTCTCCCTCTCTCTTATCTACTACCCCCCCACCTAGAAAAAAGGATAGTATGCTTAGGTTCAGAATCTGGTTAGATTCTAGCAAGCAAAAAGATTTTACCATGCATCTTCCATGATTCCTATTGTTTTTATGAGTCTAATAAGATTATAAAGCTACATTTTAACTTCAAAAACCTGAAGACGTTCTGGGTTCCCAAAAGCCATCCTGTTTAATTTATTATTAAGACCCGATTGATGAAAATTAACATCTTTAATTGTTATGTCGTTCTGGGAAAATAAAGAATGTTTCTACTATTGATAGATTATAGTTAAGTATCTAAAAATGTTGTTTAAAATTATTCCTTTTTTTTTTTTTTTTTTGAGATGTAGTCTTGCTCTGTTACCCAGGCTGGAGTGCAGTGGTGTGATCTTAGCTCACTGCAGCCTCTGCCTCCCAGGTTCAAGTGATTCTCCTGCTTCAGCCTCCGGAGTAGCTGGGATTACAGGCATGTGCCACCATGCCTGGCTGATTTTTTTGTTTTTTTTTTTAAGTAGAGACAGGGTTTCTCCATGTTGGTCAGGCTGGTCTCCAACTTCTGACCTCAGGTGATCCACCTGCCTCGGCCTCCCAAAGTGCTGGGATTACAGGCATGAGCCACTGTGCCCTGCCTAAAATTATTCTTAATAGTATCGTATTCAGAGGCCCAGTAAACAGTTTTCGAAACTAGATTGAAACTTAAGTTGTTAAAAACAGATTTCTGTTTAATATGATTCATTGAGATTTATTCCCATCATTCATTCAACAAATATTGATCAAGTGCTTTCTATTTGCTGGGTTTTCTAGGTGAAGATTCTTATTCTTCTGGTGCTTACATTCAACTAAGAGAATATAGTATGTTAGAAGGTAATAAATGCTATGGAAAGTAGAAAAAGTGTAGAGTAAGAGAGATCGGGAGAGCTGGGGTCAGTGTTGGGTAGAGAGGACGGGTTACAATTTAAAATAGAGTGATTAGCTGGGTGTATGGCTCATGCCTGTAATCCCAGCACTTTGGGAGGCTGAGATGGGAGAATGGCTTGAGCCCAGGAGTTTGAGACCAGCCTGGGCAACATAGCGAGACCTTATCTTGATAAAAATTTTTTTAAACAATTAGCTCGGCATGGTGTAGTTCCAGCTACTTGGGGGGCTGAGATAGGAGGATTGCTTGAGCCCAGGAGATCAAAGCTGCAGTAAGTTGAGGCTGTGGCAGTACACTCCAACTGCTTTGATAGAATGAGATTCTGCCTCAAAAATAAAATTTTAAATTAAAAACCCGTAAAATATGGTGGCCATAGTAGGCCCCATTGAGAAGGTTACAACTGAGCAAAAGACGTCATGAAGGAATTGGCCATATGGTATCTGGGGAAGAAGTGTTCAGGAAGAAGAAATCCAGAGCAAATGCCCTAAAATAGCATCCCTGAGAAATTTAAGTGAGCCAGGGTGGCTGGAGCAGAGTGATTCTAGGGAGAATGTAGTAAGAAATGACCAGCTCATGTTGGACCATGTAGACCAGTGGTGAGACGGGGAGCCATGGGAGGAATTTGAACAAGAAAGGTGACAATATCTTTTATTTTAAACCGTCACTCTGGCTAGTGCATTGAGAACAGACTACATAGGGAAACAAGTGTTGTTAATAGGCTTAGGGGAGGGGGAACAATTATTGTAATAATCCTAGCAAGAGATCATAGTGGTCAGAGAAGTAGTATATGTGCTGAGAAGCCAGATTCTGAATATTTGTGAAGGTAAAATAGCTTTTCCTGATATACTTAATGTGGGGTGAGAAAGAATGGGTTTTGCTCTGAGCAAGTACATGTATGGAGTTGTCATCAAATAAGGTGGGGAACTCTTTAGATGGAACAGACTGGGTTGGGAGAGAGGTTGGATGTTTGGTTTCGTATGTTTGGTTTGAGATATCTGTTAAACTTTCTAATGGAAATGTAGAGTGAGCAGTTGGATATATCAGTCTTGGTTTCAAGCTAGCATTCTGAGTTAACATTTACATAGCATTATATAGTATTTAGATTGTTTTATAGTAAATATAAATGCATAACATTTTAAAAATTTTCTTCTCTTTAAATAGTGACAATTGATTATTGCATTTCTTTACCACTAGCAGCTCAGTTTCCTGTTTTAAGAATTTATAAACTAACACATCATTTAAATTGTAAATTTTAAATGAAGATTGATTAATAAGTTTTAACAAATGCTGTATATTAAGCCTGTAAAATAAAAATTAGCATTTATTGATGAACATATGCTAAAAAGATATAATTCTTTAAAAGATCATTGGCGTTTGTTTTGTACAATTTCTAAATAATAATTTTCTCTTATTGCATAATAATACAAATTTTTTTTTGTGTTAGTCCTAGTGGAATTCTGAAAATGAGCAGTTTTGTTTGTTTGTTTGTTTTGAGATAGAGTTTCACTCTTGTTGCCCAGGCTGGAGTGCAGTGGTGCAATCTTGGCTCACTGCAACCTCTACCTCCCAGGTTCAGGCAATTCTCCTGCCTCAGTCTCCCAAGTAGCTGGGATTACAGGCATGAGCTACCTACCATGCCTGGCTAATTTTGTATTTTTGTTTTTTTTAGTAGAAACGGGATTTTACCATATTGGTCAGGCTGGTCTCGAACTCCTGACCTCATGTGACCCACCTGCATCAGCCTCCTAAAGTGCTGGGATTACAAGCGTGAGCCACTGCACCCGGCCAAGAAGTTCTTGATTGTAAAGTGTTTGGGCTTAATTTACTAAAAATCGCTAAAATCTTCCAGGTTTATGTGTATATGTATATGTCTCTTTTAAGAGAAACTTTTTATTCTAGGAAATTGCACTGGTCATTTCTTCTTAGTCATGTTTTTTGTGTGTGTGTGACTTATATATCTAATGAATAAACAATGACTTTTTTTAAGTTCATGATACTATAAAGAAATGGTTATGTCATTGAGACATATTGACTCAGAGTGTTCAATATTTTATTGAAAAAGGCTGTTTCATTTGTTTTACTCTGTTTAGAAAAGGAAGATCAGTGTCTCATGCCTGAAGCGTGGAATGTGGACCAGGGAGTAATTACCAAACTCAAGGAACAATACAAAAAGGAGAGAAAGGGGAAAAAGGGGGTGAAGAGTAAGTGGAAAACATTGTATCTGTAAATCACAAATCTTGCCTCTTTACATCCCCAGTTTTTTTTTTTTTCAATGTTTTCCTAAAACTACTTACTCTTTTTCATTTCTGCACCTGACCTCTTTCCTTTTCACCTGCTTTCAGGGGTTGAAATTAAATGATAAGCTATTTGATGATGAACTTAAAACAACCCCCATGTACTTATGGAATCATAAATACTGTATCCCAATAATAAGTCCAGAGCCTCATGAGAGTGTTGGGCTATGTATTCAAACACAGTGATAATTTGTTTTTTTAAAAGTACCTGTGCTTAATTATAACAGTGATTTTTTTTTTTTTTTCAGTGACAATTTATAATTCTTTTAGTGTGACCCTCTGGCAATCCACCAAAATTACTGCTTACAATTTTAGATATTGTTGACAGAAAGAAAGTTAATTTCTACCCCTGAATATTCTATGTGTTCATAACATGCATTTCATTTGCTCATACCACTATATGCTATACAGGGCACAGAGTCAAACATAAAACTTTAAAAAATATTTATTTTCTTTTTGAACATTTTGGGCCAATTTCATTTATAACATTATTACCAATTACTTTTTTTCCTTTTCAATAAAATATGTGCCACATCAAAAACAAAAGCCAAAAGAAAATTTCTAGCCCTGTGAATCATATATGTTTAATTATGTCATTATGCAAATTGTTTAGCAATGAATCTAGTTAAGAATGTAAAATGGAAATACAAAAGCTTGCAAACCATTCCGGAAAACAATCTTAAACAATCTTCTTAGGGGGGCAGGGCTAAATTACCTCCTTGTGTTTCTACCCTCGTTGAGAATATGAACCTGGGCCTCACTTTTATGGCAATAGGAATTTAATTCTTTGAGATATTAAGGTAGTATAAAGTGAGATTAAAATCTAACTTAGCAAGAAATGTATTTTAAAGTTGCAAAAGACTGGAAAGATATATATTTTTTTCTCTGTCTGTAGTGATGCTAAAGCTTATTAAAGATGAGTCATTCCTGTTAGGACATTCTTTTAAACTTAAAACAGTACTTAAAAGCATTTAAGCCTTTATTTAAAATATTTTAGAATTTACCAGTGTTTAGCTTAATTTGATAAAAAGTCAGTGTCTGTTATTGATGTTACATAATATCAACCATTACATCCTGAGAGATAATGATGTTTAATGCTATCTCAATATAGATAAATCAATGAGAAAGATTAATATTAAAACACAAGCACATTTTGTACCTTTTAGCCAAATATACTTACTGATAGACAATTTAATCTTAAAAAGTGTAGGGAGATGATTTGTCATGGCTTTTGAAAGTCATGACCAAAAAAACCAGTTAAATGGAAATTTTGAGGAAAATTTGGATATCATATGTGAGAAATAATTTCCAGATTAACTTAATGTTGATATATATTTCTTTAGGCCATTGTGCTACAAAAATGAATGTGTTGAAATATAAAAGATCTTTCAGTTGGAAAGGTAGCCAGGACTTATGCACAATCCATCTACTTTTCCATTGATTATTCAGTTCTTGTCAAATATCAGGGCATTGCTGTAGTTGGAATTTAGCACTTGAAACTGCACCATTTGACTGGAACAATATTCCTACTAATAGAAGCAATTGGATTTTTTAAATCGGGGGATTTGTGTTCAGACATCTAGCACGTGATTTTTTTAGTATGGTAAAGAAAGATGACACTGTAAGGGAGAAATTTTAACATCTTTCACTGAAGAGAGGGACTACACATTTCAGCACATTTTGTTTAATGTCTTCTGTTCATGTTATCTTGATAAAATAGCAGTCTTGGAACAAGTAAAAACTTAGGATAAAAATAGAACTGAAGCCATGCTTTGAATTGGTATATAAAGCATTGACTTATAAACCACTATAAAGTTTTTTTAATTGAACTAGTACTCATTTGAAAAGTTTGAGTCTTTTCAATGTTTGTCTAGTAGAGATATTTCCAGTCAAATCATGTACTCCAGTCATACTATCTTGAAATACATTTCTAGGCATTAGTTAAAATTGCTTAAAAATAGTTGTATTCTTTGCTGGTATAGGAAAAAAACCATAACAGACTATGGGTAAGATTTTCCCATTCTTAATTAAACTTATAACAGGAAAAACTACCGAAGATCTGTTTCAGCCTCTATCCTATATAAAACAGTCAAAACAGGGATGTGGGAGAATGAAGAATCAAAGTTCAGGTAAGTAATCGGTAGGGCATGAGACTTCACCTCTGGTACCATAGCTTGAGGATGTAAGGCAATTAATGCAAGTTAATTTAAACAAACAAACAAACAAACAGGGATGTTATTGTTTAATTCAGTGTACTGTAGGCTCACAGTCTGTATCTGGCTACATTTAGAGCAATATACAGTAGTTTGATTAAAGAATGATATTTTTAATGGTCTAACTGGACACACACATTTTAAAAAATGTAAATAGTGATGTTATCCCATTTGCTTTATTTAAAAATATGTAAAGTATAATTCTTTTCAAGAAATAAACTTTTACAATAATTTGAAAACTTGAAAATAATTATTAATCCAGTAGAATATTTTTAAAGGTAAATATTTACAATGAAAAATAAGGATTATGATGCCATTTTGATGCAGTTAGATAATTCTCTTTTCTATTTTTTGTCTTCCCCCACCCCCCCTTTTTTGGCTAGGGCCCAATAGGTCAAAACTACAAGATATGCTTGCTAATTTGAGAGATGTTGATGAACTTCCTTCGTTGCAGCCATCTGTGGGTTCACCTTCCAGACCCAGCAGCTCCAGGCTTCCCGAACATGAAATTAATAGGGCAGATGAAGGTAAGTGTTTAAGATACTCTGGAGCACAAAAAGCATTTGGATGTATATCTTTAAATTCATTCATTAGAAAGGACTTTCCTATCAGAGAAAATTTTAATCTGCAGATGTTTGGTCTGCATAGTTTTCCCCAGCTGCAAGCTTTCTTACATTCAAAGGAGTTTGAGTCCAACTTCAATCTTCAAGGCTTGAGAAGGTACATATACTTAAAAACCAACTCTAAATTCTGGTTTAAAATATCCACTAGTTCTACTGATGCCTATATGTATGTTCTATATATACCATTCCAACATTGGGAAAATTAACAGTCTATAAATCGGTAGTAAATGTTTACCTTGAAACTCATATAAATATTTTATTTAAGTAATTTATTAATGGTAATTGAAAAAGGGGATAAAGTCACCTAAAAGCCTAGTCACATAATCTACTATTTTAACTTGTTCCCTTTCAATCCTGGTTCACATGCATAGACTTTTTTTTGAGATGGAGTCTCATTCTATTGCCCAGGCTGGAGTACAGTGGGGCGATCTCGCCTGACTATAACCTCTACCTCCCGGGTTCAAGCGTTTCTCTTGCCTCAGCCTCCCGAGTAGCTGAGATTACAGGCACCTGCCACCATGCCTAGCTAGTTTTTTTTTATTTTTAGTAGAGATGAGGTTTTGCTCTGTTAGCCAGTGTGGTCTTGAACTCCTGACTTCAAGTGATCTACCCACCTCAGCCTCCCAAAGTGCTGGGATTACAGGCATGAGCCAACGCGCCTGGCCATAAATACAGTTCTTTCTTTTAGATACAAGGTCTGATTTATCTATTTATAAATGTATAAAATGCTTATATGTGGAAATTGATTTTAAAATACATATTTAAGCTGAGCATGGTGGTTCCTTGGAAGGCTGAGGTAGGAGGATCACTTGAGCTCAGGAGGTTATTTTTTGTTTTTTTTTGTTTTTGAGATCGGCTCTTACTCACGCTAGAGTGCAGTGGCCCAATTACAGCACACTGCAACTTCGACCTCTTGAGCTCAGGTGATCCTTCCAGCTCGGCCTCCCAAGTAGCTGGAACTATAAGCATGTGCCACCACGCCTGGCTAATTTTTTGTATGTTTTTTGTAGAGACATGGTTTTGTCATATTGCTCAGGCTGGTCTCAAACTCCTGGGCTCAAGTGATTGAGCTGCCTTAGCTGGGATTACAGGCGTGACCAACTGCACCCAGCCCCAGTTCAGGAGTTTAAGACTGTAGTGCCTGACAATTAAGTCAGAGGTACTGCGCTTCAGCCTAGGTGACATAGTGAGATCCTGTCTCTTAAACAAATATTTACATTAGCTGAAAATTCAGAATTACATAAAGGTAATGTTGATTAATGTATATTTTAAAATATTTATTTAAAAAATTAATCCTGAATTTAAATACTATATTTGCACTGCCTCTTCAAATTATCATTTGTTGGTTAACAAAGCCTGAGAAAAAGCCACAGAATAATCATATGTTTTTTTCTTATTTTTTAATCAGTTACATTTTAGAGAGACATAAACTGACATGACTTAGATGTATAGATTTTCATGATTGAAATACTTTTTCAGTGAAGTTTTTGACTAGTACATGGTTAATTATTTGTTAGAGTTAATTATAGCACACTTGGAATTTATTACACATACAAAGAATCAACACATTACACTCCAGATATAAAATTTATATGATGGAGATCCATGTCTTTTGAATTACAGATGTGAGGTCATGGTCCTCAATAGCTTTGTCAGATCACTAGGAGATGCATTCTGTTGACATTATAAGTATGAGACTTCTAATCAGTTGCATTTATTCCAAGATCAGGTCGCGATAAGGAGAAAAGTTTGTTTTTCTCTTATTCTCATGATCCAAAAAGTTTACCAGATTTCATCTTGGGCCATACGTGAATTACGCAGAATTCTAATAATAGAGGGAGAATACGTACTATTTATTAAATGACAGATGCACAAAAGTGTTATATAAGCCATAGAAGAAGTCCTTAATAAAAAACATAGTGAAGAATTTTAAAACTCAAGCACTGAGGGTTTGTTTAACTGGCTGTCTGCAGCAGTGGTCCTAAGCCTTCCCCCTCAGGGCAGGTTTTTCAGAAATAGAAAAGACATTTAAGAAATAGATTGTATGTTTAATTGTCTTAACTGATACTTCTTGGTCTTCAGTCTACTTTCAGAAAGAACATTAATACGCTGTGTGTGCTCTATAGTTTTATTTTATTTTTATTGTAAATTCAGAAAGGCAGGACCAGTGCGGTTGCTCACGTCTGTAATCTCAGCACTGTGGGAGACTGAGGCAGGCAGATCACTTGAGGCCAGGAATTCAAGACAAGCCTGGCCAACATGACAAAACCCTGTCTCAACTGAAAATATAATAATTAGCCGGGCATAGTGGCATGTGCCTGTAGTCCCAGCTACTTGGGAGGCTGAGGCAGGAGAGTTGCTTGAACCTACTAGGCAGAGGTTGCAGTGAGCTGAGATCACACTCCTGCACTCCAGCCTGGGCGACAGAATGAGATTGTCGCAAAAAAAATAAACTAAATAAAATAAAAAATCATAAGGCAGTGTCACATTTAAAAGGCACAGGGTTTTGTTTTGTTTTGTTTGGTAAAAGCTGATTAGGGCTGGTAAGGTTTAGTTGCCAGATGGAAATGTGACAGTGATGGAAAATTGGGTGACAGTGATACTTATTATTGCTCTCTCTCTCCAGTCCTGGAGTGTCCTGGCTGTCTTCTGGTGTGTGAGGAAGGAGGTGTTGCTTAGTTTGTTTTTAGGTTTTGCTTGGCTATTTGTAGAGCTTTAGTTAGAATTAGCTTACATAATACATATGGTCTATCCTGGGACTCAGTCTTTCACACCTGAACAAAGTTATCTGGAAATGTTAGAAATGAAAACAAATTGAAAAAAAGTACCTGGCTGAAGACCTAGCACCCAGAGTCTCATGTGAGTCATTTGACTGATTATTTTTTGACCTGAAAATTGCTGTTCTATCTTAAACAGTTCCTGTTCTTCATTAGTAAATGTTTAGAGTTGTTTTAACTTCTCAGGTGATATGTGGTATTTTGGGTAAAACCTATTTTTATTTTTGCTACTGTATTGTATGGTGGTTTGATAAGGTCTTAGTTTATGCTCTGTTTTGTTCTAAAGAGGATTTTAAGAGTTTGTCACTATTGCTTTTAAAAGCAAGTAATTATTGTTTTTACATTTTTTTTAAGAGATAGGCTCTTGCACTGTTGCCTAGGTTGGAGTATAGTGGTGCAGTCATAGCTCACTATAGCCTCAGACTCCTGGACTCAAGAGATCCTCCTGCCTTAAGCCTTCTAGGTAGCTAAAACTAGAGCAATGCACCGCTGTGCTTGGCTAATTTAAAAAAAACATTGTAGAGACCAGGCGCAATGGTTCACACCTGTAATCCCAGCACTTTGGGAGGCTGAGACAGGTGGATCACTTGAGGTCAAGAATTTGAGACCAGCCTGGCCAACGTGGCAAAACCTCATCTCAACTGAAAATACAAAAATTAGCCAGGTGTGGTGGTGGGTGATGGATTCCTGTAATCTCAGCTACTTGGGAAGCTGAAGCAGGAGAATTTGCTTGAACCTGGGAGGCAGACGTTACAATGAGCTGAGATCACGCCACTGCACTCCAGCCTGGGTGACAGAGCGAGACCCCTGTCTCAGATTTTTTTTTTTCAGCTTTTCTTTATTACCCCTTTCTACACTGAAGTTTGCCCATAAGTTTTTGTTTTTGTTTTTTAAGAGAAGGGGTCTCGCTCTGTCGCCCAGGCTGGTCTCAGACTCAGCCCCACAGGGTTCTCCTACCTTGCCACCTTGGTCTCCCAAAACACTAAAATTATAGGCATGAGCCTCTGAGTCTGGCCAATTCTTTCATTTATTCAAAGAGGATTTATTATTAGATATGATTGAATATAGAACTGAAAATGTCGGGTACATGTACTAGTTAATACAGTTGACTTGTTTCTTTTAAGAAAGTTAATTCACTCCTTTAGCACCTAGAGTTTGAACTACTAAATTCATCTGACTGACTCACAAATGTTTGTCATATGTAACCACCTCTAGGAAACTACTCAAAGACCATCTCTGATGTTTGTCAGAACAATTTGCATTTATAAAGAGTGACATTTTGTTATTGACCAAATTAAATAAAATTATTATTTTAATTTGACATTTTGCTTTTAACTGATTTTTCTATGATGATTGTTGAAGGAATTGGATTGGTATGTTCAAATGTTACAAAATAGGATATTTCAAGTTGTTCACAAAGTAAAACTGAGATCTTTGAAGCACAGTTTGCAGCTAATGAAAGCGTTCAAATGGACACTTTAAAAATTTTTCTGGCCAGGCGCAGTGGCTCACACCTGTAATCCCAGGACTTTTCGGGGCCAAGTGGGTGGATCACTTGGGGCCAAGAGTTCAAGACCAGCCTGGCCAACATGGTGAAACCAAATCTGTATTAAAAATACAAAAATTAGCCAGGTGTGGTGACGGGCACATGTAATCCCAGCTACTTGGGAGGCTGAGGCAGGAGAATCGCTTGAACCCAGGAGGCAGAGGTTGCTGTGAGTGCAGATGGCACCACTGCACTTCAGCCTGGGCAACAAAGTGAGACTCTGAGAAAAAAAATAAAGAACAAATTTTATTTGAAGTAAACATTTTTAGATGAACTATAATATAGCTACAGAAGAGTGCTGATACCATAAGGGTACATCTCAGTGAATTGTCATCAGGATAGAATTATCACCCTCCCATGTCACTGTCCCTTAGGTCAACAAGTAGAACATTACCAGGGCCCTAGAAGTCCTCTTCTTGCTGCCTTCCTTTAATTACTACTGCTTTCCTGCCCCACAGAGGTAATACTGACTTGTAACACCACATATTAATTTTGTCACATGTAGGCACATTTTAGAGTTTTACATTTGAAATTTTTTATATTCTTCCAGGTTATAAAATTAATGAATTATATTTTGAATGAGACTAGCACTTGTTATATATATTTAGTATTTAACAGAAATTATTTAGGTAATCAGCATGAAATAGAAAATGAGGAAAACTTACTTTCCTATAGTCATTATTTTTCCATATAGTGAAAATGAAAGGACAGTGGATTCTTAGATTTGTTTCATGTTTTACTTTTTTAATTAGTTGATGCCTTTACTTATAAGCTAAGATATGGAAAAAGGAATAAATTATTTAGAGCTTTTGCTCACTGAATTTTATTGTCTTTAAAAGCATTTAAGAACAAAAACAATTAAGTGTATACATGCACTTACAAGAAATTTGAAGCAAGCAAATTAGATTAAATGTTGGCTCTTTAGAGATTTTTAAATATTTCCTTTGTCTTCCCTCTTCAGTGGAAGCATTGACATTTCCTCCTTCTTCTGGAAAGTCATTCATCATGGGAGCAGATGAAGCCCTTGAAAGTGAACTGGGACTTGGAGAATTAGCAGGTCTTACGGTGGCCAATGAAGCAGACTCACTAACTTACGATGTAAGTAGTAGTTTTGTTTTGAAGTTTTTACTTGGTTTTTTAAAATTAAAAGTAGGGCCGGGCATGGTGGCTCACGCCTGTAATTCCAGCACTTTGGGAGGCTGAGGTGGACAGATCACTTTAGGTCAGGAGTTCAAAACCAGCCTGGCCAACATGGAGAAGAAACCTTGTCCCTACTGAAAATACAAAAATTAGCCAGGCATGGTGGTGGGTGCCAGTAATTGCAGCAACTCAGGAGGCTGAGGCAGGAGAAATGATTGAGCCCAGGAGCTGGAGGTTGCAGTGAGCCAAGATTGCACCACTGCACTCTAGCCTGTGCAACAGAGTGAGACTCCATCTCAAAAAAGTAAAATAAAATAAAAAGTTAATTTTATAGAAAATGAAGGCAATGGTAAAACTACTTTACAAGTATAGAACTTGGTTCAGTTTTCATTGTAAACTTTGAAAGATACATAAAGAAAAACTAAATTTTTCTATAATCTAGAGATTAAAATTATGGGCTTTACCTAAATCTATAATTCAGTATAGTTTGTTTATTAGTTTTAGATAGGGGAAGTAATTCCTTTTCCGTTACCAAATTTGGATTTTGTTTTATGTTTTAGGGCACCAGCAATTAGTTATAATTCATGCCTACCTAAACAGCAACATTTGTGTTGCTTCTTTAGTACATCAATTACTATCCTGTTGAGAAGTGATTTTAATTATTAGTAGGCATGTATGTATACAGTGTGCTTTTCAAATATTAAGGCTGACCCATCAGAGATTTGGACCAAAACTGAAATCTTTGTATCTTTGCGCGTGCATTTACTTAATTCCAAATGTAATTGTTTTATAAATGCATTTATAATTGCTCATCACAATAAATAATTTGTTAGAAAATTAGTTGCTTATGTCATAGGTAAAGTATTTATAACCCATCTTATCATTTCATTAAATTTGTCTCACTTTGGTAGTTTATCATCTCTGTCGGAAAACATAGTATATCCCTTGAGGCACATAGATCATACAGGGGATGTAGGATGGATGCCTAAGCAAACCATAGACATGGTAAAGAAGCACTCCAAAGAGGAACGCTTACCACCCACTTATCTTCACACAGATAAAAAACTCCCAACCTCTTTGCTAAGCCCATTAGTAAGTCTTTTGAGTTTTACATCCAAAAGCAGTTGAAATCTATATACTGTTTTTTACTTTCCATCCTGGTTCATTATTTTCTTAGTCAGAGCTACTACAATAACCATCTAATCTAAACAGGCTCCTTGCACTTTATTCTCTACAAATATACAGATTTTTAAAAACATTTTAAATATATGTATATATTTTTTGAAGCAGGATCTCACGGCTAGAGTGTAGTGCACCCTCCGCCCCCTGGGCTCAAGTGATCCTCCCATCTCAGCTTCCAAAGTAGTTGGGACCATAGGCACGCTCACACCCAGCTACTTTCTTATATTTTTGGTAGAGACAGGCTTTTGCCTTATTGCTCAGGCTAGTCTCAAACTCCTAAGCTCAAGCAGTTCACCTCCCTCGGCCTCCCCACAAAATACTGGGATTATGGGTATGAACCACCATGCATACTGATAAATATATATATATATATATATATATATATATATATATATTTTTAAATTGTACTTTAGGTTCTGGGGTACATGTGTAGATCATGCAGGATTGTTGCATAGGTACATAATGGCAATGTGGTTTGTTGCCTCCATCCCCCCGTCACCTATATCTGGCATTTGTCCCCCTCTTATCCCTCCCCAACCTTCCCACCTGCTGGTCTCCCTCCCCTCTCCCAGTGTGCGATGCTTCCTCCTTGTGTTCTCATTGTTCAGCACTCACTTATGAGTGAGAACATGTGGTGTTTGATTGTCTGTTCTTGTGTCAGTTTGCTGAGAATGATGGTTTCCAGTTTCATCCATGTCCCTACAAAGGACATGAACGCATCTTTTTTTATGGCTGCATAGTATTCCATGGTATATATGCGCCACAGTTTCCTTGTCCAGTCTATCATCGATGGGCGTTTGGGTTGATTCCAGGTCTTTGCTGTTGTCAACAGTGCCGCAATGAACATATGTATGTATGTGTCTTTATAATAGAACGATTTATAATCCTTTGGATATATACCCAGTATTGGGATTGCTGGGTCAATTGAAATTTCTATTTCTAGGTCCTTGAGGAATCACCACACTGTCTTTCACAATGGTTGAACTAATTTATACTCCCACCAACAGTGTGAACTTGTTCCTCTTTCTCTACATCCTCTCCAGCATCTGTTGTCTCCAGATTTTGTAATGATCACCATTCTAACTGGCGTGAGATGGTATCTTAATGTGATTTTGATTTGCATTTCTCTAATGACCAGTGATGATGAGCATTTTTTCATTTGTTTGTTGGCCTCATATATGTCTTCTTTAGAAAAGTGTCTGTTCATATTCTTTGCCCACTTTTGAATGGGTTTGTTTTTTTCTTGTAAATCTATTTTAGTTCTTTGTAGATTCTGGATATTAGCCCTTTGTCAGATGGGTAGATTGCAAAAATGTTTTCCCATTCTATTGGTTGCTGGTTCACTCTATTGATTGTTTCTTTTGCTCTGCAGAAGCTCTGGAGTTTAATTAGATTCCATTTGTCTATTTTTGCTTTTGTTGCCAGTGCTTTTGTTGTTTTAGTAATGAAGTCCTTGCCTATGCCTATGTCCTGAATGGTTTTGCCTAGGTTTTCTTCTAGGGTTTTTATGGATCTGGAGTTGATTTTAGTGTAAGGTGTCCACAAGGGGTCCAGTTTCTGCTTTCTACACATGACTAGCCAGTTTTCCCAACACCATTTATTAAACAGGGAACCCTTTCCCCATTGCTTGTTTTTGTGAGGTTTGTAAAAGATCAGATGGTTGTAAATGTGTCGCATTGCCTCTGAGGCCTCTGTTCTGTTCCATTGGTTTATATCTCTGTTTTGGTACCAGTACTATGCTGTTTTGACTACTGTAGCCTTGTAATATAGTTTGAAGTCAGGTAGCATGATGCCTCCCGCTTTGTTCTTTTTGCTTAGGATTGTCTTGGCTATGTGGGCTCTCTTTTGGTTCCATAAGAAGTTTAAGGTGTTTTTTTTTTTCCCAGTTCTGTGAATAATGTCACTGGTAGCTTCAGCAATCAGGCAAGAAAAAGAAATAAAGGGTATTCAATTAGGAAAGGGGGAAGGCAAATTGTCTCTATTTGCAGACGACATGATTGTATATTTAGAAGACCCCATCGTCTCAGCCCAAAATCTTAAACTGATAAGCAACTTCAGCAAAGTTTCAGGACACAAAATCAGTGTGCAGAAATCAGAAGCATTTTTATATACCAATAAGAGACTAACAGAGAGCCAAATCAAGAGTGAACTGCCATTCACAATTGCTACAAAGAGAATAAAAAACCTAGGAATACAACTAACAAAGGATGTAAAGGACCTCTTCAGGGAGAACTATAAACCGCGGCTTAAGGAAATAAAAGAGAACACAAACAGATGGAAAAACATTCCATGCTCATGGTTAGGAAGAATCAATATTGTGAAAATGACCATACTGCCCAAAGTAATTTATAGATTCAACAGATTTTTAAAAAATTGTTTCTGTTTTAAATTTTTTTTTGGTAGCCTTATTTCACATTTGTCTTTTTAAAACACCATTAAGTTGATTTTTGTGCTCTCCCCCCCGCCCCGTCATTTTTGATAACCTTTACTTTATATTTTAATTGGAGCATTCAATCCTTTTTTTTTTCTTTTTTTGGAGGCAGAGTCTCACTCTGCTGGCCAGGATAGAATGCAGTGGTGTGATCACAGCTCACTGTAGCCTTGACCTTCTGGACTTAAGCCATCCTCCTATCTCAGCCTCCCAAGTAGCTGGAACCAAAGGCGTGCACCACCATGCCTGGCTTTTTAATTTTTTGTATAAATGGGATCTTGCTGTGCTGCCTAGGCTGGTCTCAAACTACTGGGCTCCAACGATCTGCCCACCTCAGCCTCACAGAATGCTGAGATTACAGGCATGAGCCATTGTGCCTGGCTGGGGTAAATTATTTTTTATTCAACCTTCCACCTTTTTACTACTTGGAATTTCAACACTCTTTTCCTACTCTTTCAGTGACTACCCTAGAGATTATCACATACATCTTTATCAAAATTTTCTGTGCAAAGATTTTATCAGTGCTTTTAATTTTTAACCCCCAACCTACTTATATGTCATTCTTTTTTTTTTTTTTTTTTGAGACGGAGTTTCGCTCTTGTTACCCAGGCTGAAGTGCAATGGCGCGATCTCGGCTCGCCACAACCTCCGCCTCCTGGGTTCAGGCAATTCTCCTGCCTCAGCCTCCTGAGTAGCTGTGATTACAGGCGTGCACCACCATGCCTAGCTAATTTTTTGTATCTTTAGTAGAGACGGGGTTTCACCATGTTGACCAGGATGATCTCGATCTCTTGACCTCGTGATCCACCCGCCTTGGCCTCCAAAAGTGCTGGGATTACAGTCTTGAGCCCGGCCCATCATTCTTATTATACATTTCTGAATATGTTTATCTTCTATAAGAAAACTATTGTTTCATACACTCTATATTCAGTTAGGATTATTTATTTTACATTTTACATTATCCTTTACACATTTTGCTTTATAAAATTCTTTTTTTTTTTTTTTTTTTTTTTTAATTTTTTATTGGATTATAGGTTTTGGGGTACATGAGCAGAGCATGCAAGACAGTTGCGTAGGTACACACATGGCAGTGTGCTTTGCTTTTCTTCTCCCCTTCACCCACATTTGGCATTTCTCCCCAGGCTATCCCTCCCCACCTCCCCCTCCCACTGGCCCTCCCCTTTTCCCCCCAATAGACCCCAGTGTTTAGTACTCCCCTCCCTGTGTCCATGTGTTCTCATTTTTCATCACCCACCTATGAGTGAGAATATGCGGTGTTTCATTTTCTGTTCTTGTGTCAGTTTGCTGAGGATGATGTTTTCCAGATTCATCCATGTCCCTACAA